AAGCTCTCAATATTCAAGTCGATCTTTATCCCCATACTTACCTACGGTCATGAATCATGGACCATCACTGGAAAACTTCGAACCCGGGTACAAGCTGCTGAAATGGGTTTTCTTAGACGAGCCTCGACAAGGTCCGGAATACTGACACCCGGAAGTGCCTTGGTGTACAGCGTTTGGTTCTCCAGATTGAGAAGTTAGCTGCGATGTTTGGGCATGTGTTGGGTATGCCTCCTTAAAGGAGGACAAAGTAATTGTTTCTTGCCAAACCGACCAGCAGAAGGCCCAAGGAAGGGGCAAGATTAGCCTGGTGCAGACATATGGAAGGAGTCTCTTCCAGACTCCAGTGGTCTTCTGTCAAAGCTCAGACTCTTTCACAGGATCGGGAATTTAGGAAGTGCTGTTTGACGCGTCTGCCTCCGTGACCCGAAACGAGAAGCGGCAATGGAAGATGAAGGTACTACATGATACGGCAGAAGGTTCATGATTTGTTAACAAACCAGTCATGTACTGTACTTAGATGATGAGTATTGGATAGGGTGGCAAGATTTGGGAAGGCGGAGTTAATTCTCTCAGCTGCTATTGAACCGTTACTACGGTCGTGATATGCAATCGCTGACTCTTAAATAGCTTGTTAATGAGATTGTGCTGGAAAGACGTTTAAACAAGGATGTTACTTCATTGCCAGCCATCGGTCTTCTCCATTCTGACATGATACACAACGCCTACATTCGTGGCATCGATCCTAAGACTATGTGAGAGTGGTGATGATCAGAAAATCAAAAACTAATGCTGATGGCGTATCGTTGATGGTAGAACAATACGACTAAAAATAAGATTACTTATGGAGAAAGGCAGAGCAACGTATTTCAGTACCTCCATGCCTGATCCTCAGGCTAAAAAATTTTTTTACTAAGCAACTAATTAGCCACATAGTCGATTCGTTTCTTTTTTAGTCTGCAAGCTAAATATTTTTCATAAGCAGAGAAGAGAAGCACATTTACTGACTGATAATATTGGAAAATCATTTCATTTCTTCTAAATATACCCTGTTATTACTGTCACGTCGGGAAAACACCTGACTTCAAAGAAAAAACCGACTATCACCAATCGGTTGAAAGAAGCACAAGTGCATGACTGGAAGAATTTGTTAGCAAGAGATGGGTTGAAAAAATTATCACTGGAAGTAATCTTAAGATCATTCATGAAATAACCGGTTATTTGGGATGCATATTAAGTCCACATTTCAGCAACTTTATGAAGCGGGATATCCACCGCATTTTAAATTCACATGTGAATGAAATACTGTCGTTTTCCGCTCCTTTAAAAAAATTTAAAAGGGTCCTTGATGACTTTCGATTCGTTCCTTGCCAATTCATATAATAAATCAGGGCAGAGGAACTTGCCTAATAATTTGTCGATTTCATTTATTTGTCGTCGATAATGAACGCTTTCTTTTGCATTTCACGCTCGTCTACGTCTACCTCTTTATCAGGGATTGAAGCATTCGTCTGCCTAGATGTTTCTCATTATGAATCCATAAATACTGATCCTACTAACGTTACCTTTTCACATAATTTATGTTTTAATAATACTATTCACTAAATACATTGGTATTGTGTTCAAATTCATGCACTGTATATCAAAATTATGATCTATAGCGTATAATACGATGTAGCAATTTGTCTATTTCAGACATAATCTGGCATGCCAGATCGATCTCATTCACGATAGTACAATCGCACATCGACTACAGCACGCTTTATGAATTATGCATTTTGATTCGATCAGCCAAAGAGACGTATAGCTCACACATATTAGACGTATTCGTCGCAAAAATATTTCTCCAAGGCGTTCTTCCGGCATCACTCAACCTCAAAAATCCTTTGCGCCCAGTCCTTGAGGGCAAATCGGCAAAAGCGCTTTGCAGCCGCCTCAGCTACATCATAAACAACGCCCATGTGTTTGCGTAGGACCATTTGTAAGAGCGGCAAAAAATAGAGGTCAAAGAAATGGGAGGTAGTACACAGATGTCGCCGTTTCTAGGATATTGTGAGTGAAACCGAATGTCGTAATTTTGCCGTTTTCTGGCACAGAGTTCGAAGAACAGAACGCTCAGAGAGTGGGTCAAAGCAATTAGTCAAAGAAGAGCGATTGACGTAAATTGGGTTGACGTTGGACGCACGACAAAGTCCGGTCCGGGAGGGAGAGGTGCCAGAGGAGCGGTGAGCAACTTTTTATGAACTCGATTCGGTGGTCACGTACCAAGGATGGTAATCTTCGGCGGCGACAGCAGGGAAACGAAGTAGCACCGTGACCCGCGGCTGTCGGAAGGTCGCCAATGGAAGTGCGTGTCATTGTCGCCCCAAACAATGCATCACCTCAGCCCCCATCCTCCATCTGGCGCGTGCCGCGGCTGTTACCAACGGTACGCTTGTACACGGTCGAGCAGTCACGGTTATTTCCCCCCGTCGGTGTCACTCAGGGATAAGACCTCGTCTGAGTCTGCGAGTTATGTGGATGCTAGGCAGATGAGGATCATTGTAGATCATGCAAGACTGTCAGCAGAAACGTTTCTTAAAATAGTCTAACTTTGAGTCTTCAAAATAAGCGCATTAGTTTCCTCATTTCCCACTACTGCTAATATGACCGCAAAACTTTAGCTTGTCGGTTCGTGAAACGAAGCGCCTGCACATAGAGTTCATTTAGCGACGTGCCAATATGCCTCAGGGAAGGGGCAATATTTCTTAATAAAGTATATGGCAGGTGGGCCAATGTGATGTTTTAGTCCATTATATTCATATCTGCTCTTTATGTGCGGGCAAATTAACCGTGTTATCAGTTGCTACATTGTAGGCCGTTATTGGAAGATAGACCTCAGAATGTTGCGTATCCTCTGTAAGCTTGTGGACACCAGTTAGTCTTTGCCAGTCTATGCTGATGACTGCAAAGTCGAGAACAAAATGGTAGCAAGAATAAAATCATCCGGGATGGACTGTAGTTGTGTTAAGGTAGTAGTTAAGGAATAGTGGTTTAGATCGCGAGTCGAACAACTTGATAGACTTGTTCCCAAACGATAGTTAAAACCGTTTCGTCTCAAGTCGAGGAAGCGAAGAAGCAGACCGAAACATGATTACGATGGCTGTTTCTCTCACAAACATTGACTCTTAAATCTCATGGCTAATGAAGCAGTGAGAATGAGTGAATTTCGCTCGCATCCCGCAGTTACTCCTGTTCTCACTCAGTGACATGGTTCCTTGTGTTGCGTGCCCTGCCGCCTTACTCAGGCCATTTTTTGACGTTTCCTCCTGCTGAATAGTTTCTCCAATATGGGCTTCGTCACAAGTGCAACTGAGGTGAAGCACCATCCCAAGGGTTGCTTGTCATGGTAGGATAACTTCCTCATTCAGGTGATCCCTCTTGCTTCTGCGAAAAACAGGATATTGTCTTGAAGGTGTTCGCTGAATCGTCGTATCCTTTCCTCTAGACTCAACTGAGCACTTTCATTAGACGTGGACAACGAATGATTCCTCCAGAAGCAGGTCTCACGGTGTACAGCAATGCCTCATTTCTCCTAGTTGCTTAGGGAGGTCGTTTAAACAAGCCAATGCTCCATAACATTTAAGCATCTGCACTGCCAGATACATTGCGCATCATTTTGTCTCCTACAGCTACATGGCGGAAATCAAGAACGATGTTTCAGGAGCTTGTATTCCTCATGCACAAGCACCATAAGTTGTTTGCAAGCATGATTATGCCAAACAACAGATAAGACCTCCAAGACAAGTTTTCACCGTGCATTTAAACAGATCATCACTGCATAGGCAATGCCCACTCCCTAAGGAAACTAGGAGTAAAGGGGCGACGCATTCGGCATCGAAATCCGGTTTTGAATGAGTCATTCATTATTCGACATATTTTGCGCGCAAACAACTTATGATTAGTGAATTATGCATGTTCACACAGCTTGAGTAAATCTGCCAAGACTGTTTTCTAGTGCACTTGTTTTCTGTGACACATGTTCCTCCCACAAAATGTTTCTTAAATGGCTGCTAGGCTGGAAACCAATCCTCTCTCTCATAGGAGTTCAGCAAACACCAGATTGCACCAAACCTCCAGATTTACCTTGAAACATGCCCGTGAAACGGGGACCCAATTGTCGGCTTCGGTCTACCACCAAATACAGCCACTGTATCGCTCTAGACATAGTTAAACCGCCTTTGCACTGTTGTTTAGTGTTGCTACCAATGCACGGCATACTGTCCGGACGTCCCCCTGATAATGAGCTGCGATTGGCCGAACCGGTCGGCAGTGATCGAGGAACGAACTATGCTGCCGGGTGTTAGGGGTCAACGGTGACTGGCAGTGGTCCGAATGAATGAAAGCCACGCCGCCGTGCTTCGACACGTGCGACGGAGCACCTGGCCACCGCCGTTAATGGTAGTGCTCGATCGGAAGCTGATAAATCAAGCGCAACAGCGGGACGAACGTGAAAACAATGACCGTATTTCACAGATACGCTGCTCAAGGGAGGAGGTGAAATAACGATGACACGTGACATGCGGCGGAATGAAGAGTACGACAAGCCGAAAAGGCACAATACAAAAAATCTGATGCAAACAACGGAACAGGCACCTACCTGCTTTGTGACGCTGTCGATGAGGCGTACGTAAACGTCCTGTTCCTGGCGAATGCCTTAAATGAATACCGCATCAAAAAAGGTACTGAATTAATGCTTGGGCGCCACAGCGACAGAGAATTTGCCCTTATCGCTGACACATGTGGAACAGTTCCTCAGAGTTCGCTAACTCCGTTCAGTGAGGAGGAGTAACGCAGGACCGTGTTGGGGGGGGGCCGACTCATCAGCATTTAGAGGATAAGTCCTCGATTAGACTAGTGCGCGAATGTCTCTTCCGACGAAAGAACGAACGTCTTCGTCAGAACTCACAGCTATGGAAGCATAACTTTTCCGGAAGATTAAGGCTTCAAGATTTACTGCCGTCGCGCTCATGAAACAAAGATGAAACAAACACGGCACAAAACGTCGATTGAGGACTTGTAACAAACCCCAATCGTGTTTCATAAGGTATGACATTTGTGTATGGCAATTTGAGGCTCATTTATAAACCGTTTCCTGAATAGATTCATAATTGCTAAATTTTACAGGCTTGATTGCAAAGGTGACCTGTTAAAAGAATCTTAAGTGTTTGGAAAGGAACTTATATTCAACGAAATGTATGACTGGCATATTTGGTTTTCCCAGTTTAAATGATGATTTTGTACTCTGCATGAGATTTCTGGAAAATGACCAAAGTTATGCTCACCAGCGACTAGATTTTGAGGCACGTTTTTTACATCTTACTCCCCGTCACATGTATATGTCCACAAACACACAACCCCCCCTACAAGGAATTGCAAAATATGCTTAGGCGTTTTGTCAGACGGGCTCAGAGCAATTACTTTCAAAAAATATTATGAAAGCGATGCCAAGCCAGAAAACACTTGTTCTCTACTGTGATCGCCGGTTAGATGGCATTAATTGTTTCTATGACAAAATGCATGGAGCAGCATAACGTGAAAGTTGGCCATCATTCCCTCCCCATAAAAAGTGGAGGATCACATTTACAAATATTTTGAATTCATCTGGTTTCAGTAATTGTTTTAGGGTTATACCTTTACACATACCTGTGTTATGCAGATTCAGGTACAGATGCATGTACACCAGGTGAGAAATGAGAATGTGGAAAGAATTTTTAACTTTTTGATCATAACGCCAACAAAGTGAGGAATGAGAAAACAAAAGATGCAAGGCGCCTTTTTGGGCCAATCTGACATGAATTGATTCTGATTGCTATAGTCCATATTCTGTATGAGGAAGAATTGGAGGAACATGTGAGATGTATGGGCCATTATTAATATCGGATATTTTCTGATTCGGTGTATCCTCAGATTGACGAAGTGAACTCAGCAGCGTTGTCCTCTGGGTACAAGAATGATATTTTGAGGCTTTATCCCCATTAATTGGAGATAAATACAGTATATCCTCCCCACGCTCATTCATCTAATCCAGGTTCTAGCGGAAGTCAGCTTGTCATGGAAACATTTACATGAGATCCTCTAACCCATTACTACTTGTATGAAAGTGGCATTATTCCTGGGGGCTTCTGTGAGAGTTGCATTTCACCGCTGTTCGGCCTGTCATGATATTCCCTACTTGGGTCATTACTCACTCACTTTGGGGCGTACACCTTGCCTTGAGTTGATTCATGACAATGGCTGTCGAATATGAAGCCATGAGTGACATGAGTTAGCGCAATGAATTAGAGTATTTAACGCAACATTGTTTCCATGAGATTGCGTGAGATATGAATCAATTGGTGGATGAGAACGAAAAGAGATTGCGTCAAAAAATCAAGAAGAGTTAATTGTTCATCTGCAATGTTATAAGGCGTAGGGTCACTCGAAACACGGACCATTTTGAGTAAGAAACTGAAAAAAAAACTCATGGAGCGTTCGCATCTAGTTTTTACATAGATGTGATCATGAAGGCATCGGTATATCAGTGCTTATTGTTATTCGCTTTCTTCATCCTTCCGTCCCATACTTGACATGAACAGAAACTGCATATTGCAGAATATTACGTGACCGTGATCGATGATAAATGCAAATGTCTGATGACCAAGATATGATGCAGAAAACTTATAACTTATGCGCAGGCAAGAATCAGATTTTGATCCCTAAACGGATGAGATGTAGTTGAGGATAACTTTTGGATTACATCTAAAGGAAGTTTCCAAATAAGAAAATTTTTGTGAATGGCATAGAAGAGATATGAACCGTTTTTTAAACATACCGTTTTTGTGGTTTAGTTTAGGAGAAGCTCTAAGAGCAGAACACCAGCGCTTTCAGGAAGTCGGTATTCAAAATGCCAGCTAGTAGTTTAGTAGAAACAGTGGCGGAAGTTGCAAGTTTTGCAATCGTACGAGAGCAGGGTGGAATGTGGATGCCTTGAGCCATGAGGCTTCACCTATGGCAGTCACGGATTTGTTATGGAACTGCGTATGTTTAAATCCTGCTATAAGTAGTGCATGTTTGTGGTGCCCTTGGCGCCCGACGTGAAAACAAACGATCAGGCACGTACCGTTGGCGTAGAGCAGCCACAGCTTGTAATGGATGCCGTTGTTGGTCTTGACGTTTTCGGGCTCCTAAAACGCGAGAGATCACGTGAAATGAGGAACGAGTCAAATCAGGCAAAGCTTCAATTGCGCACGGCGCCGGCCGGAAACGTACCTTGTCCTTTTCGACGAAGTCTATGAACTGGGTGCGTTCGATCTCGACAGGCTGACCGGCCCGGTCGTACAGCGCGACGACGAAGTGGAAAAAATTACTTTTGCGCAAATTGCTCGGCGGTTGTTTCTCGAAATGGGCCCGCGCCAGCTGAGCACTGAAATAAAGCATGATCATCTGATCGCCACTCACCACAGGCATGCTATGTAACTGGACGAAGAGCAGAGCGAGAGGCGAGAGGCGAGAAGGAGGCGAAGAGGAGTGCAACGGCCACGGCCACGGCGACGATGGCCAGGACGAAAACGAACGACCGCTAGGATGCTATCGTCGTCGTCGTCGTCGTCGTCATCGTCGTTGTTCAAATGGTAAAAAGAACAATACGCTTCAACCAACATGGTGCGAAGCGGCGAGAGAGAAGTATGCTTGACTGTGATTAAAATTTAAAGCTTTTGCGTCGTCGTCGTCGTTGTCGTTGTCGCCGTTGTCATCGTCATCGCTGTCTCCATGGGGTGATTTCGCCTCTCGCTCTCGATCAGCACAATGCACTGACCTGGCAGGACTCGCGTCGACCATGGTCGTCGTTGGGGCCATCCAAGAAGTGGCCCGCAGAGCACTGGCGTTCACCGCCTCTTCTTTCAAGGGAGTCGCGATGGCGGCAACGGCGGCGGCGGCGGCAGCGGCAGCGGCGGCGGTCGTCGTGCCCCTTGGTATCAACGCAGTTTCGTGAAAACTAAACATCCTTCGAGACCAATGTCAGCCAACCTTGAAGTCCCCGAGGCAGAGCCGACCGGCCAGCCGGACAGACAGACAGACGGATATCACCGGGCTTGACGGTATCGATCAGTGCCGAACCTGGCTACCGCAAACCGAACAAGTCTGCGACGACCACGTTCTCAACGGTTGGTACAGAGCCGCCACGACAGCAACGACGACGAGGACATGTCTTCAAAAAAGCGATTCGGCTTTCAGCTTCGACTTATTTCCATCGCCGTTCAGCCGCACAGCGCACCGTCCCACAGGAACGATACTTCATTACGTCCGAGTGACATTAGACGAGCGAAATTTCCGAACCAGATTGCCGACCAATACCGTTGGGAAATCAGT